TATCACCCCAGGATAACCCAGTTTCAAGACCTGACCACCTTTAAAATGTGACTTTGCAGCCAAGCCTGCTTCTTTTAGTACTTCCCCCCACCCCCCAGTCTTGAAACCAGAAACATTTATTTTTAGGAGGAATGTCCAATTAAGGATCGCTTCCTACTCCCCCTTGCAAAAAAAACCCAAAACTGCTAATAATAATGGTATTCCCAGAAGAGAGTTCACCACCATCTTCACGGTTTCTAAGTTGATTCGCTCTGTATCTCTCTACTTTGTTGTCTTTGGGACCTAACCTGCATCTCAGGTTTGCATTGCATTGATAAGTCTTTTCCTTTCCCTATTGACTCGTGGAGTAATTTAACTCAATTCCAATTTTCCTTTGCAGGCGGGGTGTACAAACTCACATCCACGGAAGTGAGTTATGTGTGTTCAAGTGGTGCATCTTATGAATCTTGTTAAGCTTTGCCGCCTTATAGCCCCACTGATGGAATATTTAATCACAGAAATGAGTTGGCAGATATGATATATGGTGTGAGTGAGCTTCTCTGCCGTCTTACCGGCAATTGAGAAACGGACGAATTTGCCATTTGTCAGTACTGTGTCGACAACTGTGTATAACCTTCTGTTATTTATTTTTACTTTGTTTTACTTATGTATGAAGATTAAAGGTGCGTGCTTTCAATCAACAGTTTCATTGGCCAGATATCATGATTCTCCGTAAAAGGCACCACTGTTTTTTTTTTTTTTAATCTTTTTATTAGATAGTAACGGAACGGCTCACAATGAAGGGGGAACCCCTTTTGATGCCTCCTCATTGAGATGATTAGAAACACTATTTCTAATTATATTAAGTAACTTGAAGCATGCTACTGGGAACGCATAATTTGCAGGTAGTGTACTTTGATTTAATGCCTTCAATTTTTTTTATAAGTCTAAAATGGAATGGTCTTAGATGCTGGCTAAAGTCTTTGAGATCTACCTGGGCATTTTTTTTTAATTGACTTATCAATGATTTATCTTGAGAATAAGCCCCAAGGAGCCCAAGGATGATTAGATGTAAGCAAAATAATCAATGCCTTACAGCTTTGTAGGAAAACAGCCACTTGTCTTTGGAGGAGATTCATAGGATATGCCTATTTATGCATACCTGCTTCTGAAGACTAGTTTCAGATTGAGCGTTCTTCCAGGTAGGACTTGGTAAGAGTTCAGAAAAACACCCGAAATGAAAGGCCTTTCACAACGTCTTTCTAAATGCTTCCCCTGCTATGTGTGTGTGAGGGAGAGTGTGCGTCATAATTTATCAAAGCAAATTAATACTGTTCAGCTGGTAATTAAAGATCCTCATTAAGAGGTGCTTCTGCCCTCTCCACCCCAACCCTGCGTTAGCAATAAAAATGCACTCAGGGCGTCAAGAGGTTATATACGAAAATCAATAACCTGCCATTTTATAATTAAAGAGAAAATAAATGTTAGGGAAAAGTCCACTAAATTAGGAAAATTACCTTTAGGAGAGATTGAAAATATTGATTTTAATTTACAAAATATGTGAACTTTTCATGCCCCGTTCTGAGAGACAATTGGAGGCTGGGTTGTTAATTCTGCATAAGCTTCAGAAAATCGATAATTATACTATGGGAATATCATGATATTTGTCATTAACACAAAATCTTATATAGAAAAGTGCCTAATAAGCCTGGCTTTCTATCTCAGGCAGATACAGGGTTGGCTTGCTAAATATCCACAGCGAATCAATGACAAGGTCTTCATTTCGGCTTTGAGGCACGCTGGAAATTGCAAGAGAAATCCAGGCTGTGTTTATAGTTGGGGGAATTCACAAAGGCCCCTAAATCCTTAGCCGTGGATATTCAAGTGGATGACGTTAGTAAGTATACCTGCATAGGGAAATGAATACATGCCACATCTGCATTTGCATCTATGCATTAAGGTGCCCGTAACTTTTGACGTAAGCTAGCTAGATTCTCAGTGTTTATGGGTCTTCAAATATTTCAAAGGACTTGTTCTGGAGTGTTGGATTTGGAGCAACATTTCCGAATATCATGAACTCTGTTGACCTCCATATACAGATAATATAGGCAGAAAGAGAAAGTTTCTGATTATTAAGGATACCCCGGGTAGTAGCAACACTAACATGCATATACAGATTTCTCCAGTGACACTTACTCATGCCCCCCCCCTTTTTTTTAGATTTAAGTTTATCGGAGCATCTCGTAGAAATAATTATTTGGGTGCGTGGACTCCTTAAAACTGCCCCTGACAGAACCAGTTAACTCATCTGAATGTGGAGGATATGGTGGCCGTGGCTGTTGGAACAATCCAACATTATTATTTCACTCCTCTTCTTTAACTGGACTGGTTTGGACATAGAGCTGTAGTTGCCTGATCTACCACCACAGGCCACACTCAAGAAGAAGTATGACTTCTAGTATTCACACAAAAAAATAAAGAAGCCATATTAACCCGGTTGTAAAGAACCCAGGCTCTTGGTTTTACAGTCTAGCTAGCTTCTTACCCACTTGAAATCTTAGCCCTTTAGTGCTAAGGTAGTCTACGTACTTTATTTTTTTTTTAAGTTTATTTATTTATTTTTAGAGAGAGAGAGAGAAAGGGAGAGAACAAGCGGGAGAGGTGCGGAGAGAGAGAGGGAGAGACAGAATCCGAAGCAGGCTTTGCACCACCAGCAGAGATCCGGATGTGGGCCTCGAACTCACAAACTGTGAGATCATGACCTGAGCTGAGATCAAGAGTCAGACACTTAACCAACCACGCCACCCAGGTGCCCTCGTACTCTCTGTACTTTAGTTTTCTCACTTGGAAAACCGCCGTGAGGATTTAAATACATTAATTAAGGTAAAGTGCTTGGAACAGTGCCTGACCACGGATAATATTCAAGTAAATATTAATCTTTATTGTAACTTGTTCGTAGCCACTACTCCCATGATGTAACTTCTGCAGCTGGGCTCAGGGCTGATCTGAATGGCTGTTCTAACCTTCTAAAAGTCATGCAGGTTAATTTATTCTTGTACATACAAGTCAGTGTGAATGGATTCTTCTGTCCTGACGTCCTCTTCAATACCCACAGATACGCAGTGAGGTTTGAAATCCCTTCTCAAGGAGAGGTTTGGTGTTATTTTGGTTGCTTAGGTCAGATGACCAGAAACTAACTACACTGCATGGGACCAGAAACATGGACTTCTTCTCCCTATCCCAAGTCACACATTTATACCCTCTCTCATCAGATGACTTCTTGCTTCTTGTTCTGGACTCATTAATCTGGGGAGAGTAACGCCCTTATGGCAGAGAGGGGAACGTTCATTTATTTGCTTTCATTTGCCCAATGTTTATGTATTGCTTGCTATGCACCACTCTTCACATATTAACCCATTTAATTCTAATAAACACCTGTGAGTCTGTTACTATTATCATCTTCCGCTTAACAGATGAAGACACTGAGGCACAGAGAGGTTAAGTAACTTGCCTAGAGTCACACAGCTGGCCAGGATTTGAACCTGGGCTGAGTACAGTGTTCACATTCCCCACTTTGCTAAATGTCCTCTCAGTGGATGAGTTCCACCATACAATCATGGAAAGACTTACAGCTAAGTTTTTGCTCCCCCAATAAGAGTCAGCACAGCTGCTTTACAGGCATAGAGCTGCTGGACTTCACCCAGGCTTGGGGTAGAAACCACATGTGAGGAACAAACATTGCCTGTCCAAAATCCAGAACTCACCTATCATCTTGGGTCTTCCCAGATTTACCATTTTTTTCTTTGTCAGGTTGATTACTCTGCTGGATAGCTATCCGAATATGCCATATTCCCCTGTCATGCACTAGGGTTGATTCAGGATCAGAAAAATGACAGAAGGCATCCCGGAAGAAACCAAGCAAGGGGTAGGACTTACTTACCATCAAGAGGTCACTAAGTGAGTGGATCTAGACCAACGGGTCATTTATCTCTCCTTATTAAAGAGCAAGGGCCCCATCAAAGAAAGGGTTCTTTTCCATACCCGCGTGGAAACTACTAAAATTCTAAGGTGTTAAACGCAACCTTGTTTTTTATTTTTTTTATTATTTTTTTAGATGTTTTTATTTATTTTTGAGACAGAGACAGAGCATGAGCAGGGGAGGAGAAGAGAGAGAGGGAGACACAGAATCCGAAGCAGGCTGCAGGCTCTGAGCTGCCAGCACAGAGTCCGACGCGGGCCTCGAACTCACAGTGTGAGATCATGACCTGAGCCGAAGTCGGCACCCCAAACGCAACCTTGTTAATGGACAACACGATAACAGGCAGAACCAGTCTCAGTCACTGCTTCTTCTGGGTCATTCTCTCTCAAAATGTGATGACCAAGTTTTCGACACAGGTTTCCCGATCAACCGCTAGCTGGAGGGTAGCAGGGAAGGGCCAAGGGGAGAGACTTCCCTCGGAAGGGCAGGGCAGAGAGGAATATGGAATTGCTAAGGAAATGTGATGCATGGAGAAAGAAAGACCACTTCTTTTTTTTTTTTTTCGTTTTCTAAATAATCCTCCTCTTGGCAATTTCAACTCACTGCCACATTATTGGAATAAGTGAGCCAACTCAGCTTCGCTGGGAAAAAAAATGCGACCCCACACGGAAACGTATGGCAAAAAACACATGGAGGGACACTAAATAAAATTGGGCAAGAACAGCTCCACATTCGTTCAACATACCCTTGAACAAGGCCTCAATGCTTTTTTGAGGCGAAATCAATGGAAAACATCATAAGGAGCAGGGGCTCCACGCATAGCTCACAGTGTAACACACATACGTGATGTCCCTTCATTTTTTCAAGGGTTTTAAACACTTTTGGTTTTGCTTTAGGAAAAAAAAAAAAACCAACAGTCCCTCAGAACTTCTGAGGAGAGGGATTTTACTTGGTTCAGATTATTTCATGAAACCTATTCTCTAGTAGCAGGCAAAACACATCGAGAACAGACGAAGAAGTCATGCACAGAGGAAATTTTTACCTGCATAGAATTCGGGGCTGTAGACCGCACCCACAACTGGATTCAATTTCCAGCCTTAAAACAAATACACAAAAACATGATTATCACATTTGATTCAACAACTCACATCACTACAAGCGAAACACAAATCAAATGGGGTGGTGTATATATATATATTTTTAATTTTATATTCAGAGGGTATATAGTCTGGGGATGCATAAAAATGATTTGTAACCTATACCTGGGAAGGCAGATTTATGCCTTTCTTTGATTGGCTGCCAATACAAGTTAATAGTATGGAAACTATTGACCAGCTACAGGTGAACTTTTTGAAAATGATGTGGTGATTAATTTTCTCCCATGCTAATATTCTCTAGAACCACTATAATAATTGCAAATTTTTTGTCTTCTTTCATGGATCACTGCTAGGTAATCCATCATATGCCCCTTTGCATTTAGTCCCCCCAAATTTGAAAGCTCACATAAACAGAATTCTTTGCGGATACATATTCTGATAATTGTCATTCCTAATTATGACCCAGAGAATTCCGAAGTGCTTTTTACATCCCAAAGAAAATGACATTTATCCACGAGAGATTAAGTGTGGAATACATTTCAGCACATTCAGGAACCATAAAAATTCTTAATCAATGCATGATACCTAAGGTAACTTTCAAACAACCTGTGTATAAGAGGAACAGAATCCTGTAATTTTCCCAGTGTTCTGGATGGAGCATTTTCTGTCAAATGAATCCTGGCCCCTTAGGAACTTTTACTCAAGAAAAGAACATACAAGAATATGTGCAAATTGAGAAGCTGTGCACATTACACACCCACTGGGCATCATTTAGGGAACAACCTCCAAAGAATGGCCATGTTTTAGGGTTTGGTAATCATTTCCTGCTCCTGCTGCTAAGTCTTTATGAAAACATCCATTAAATAGAATTCCTGAAAGATAAAGAAGGTCAGGTGTGCTGCCTTTTATGGAAAACTTTGTGTCCTTGGGCTGAGGGTAAAACACCCGGGGTCCTTTAGCAAATGCTCCTGAGAAAAGGCAATGGTGAAAGGTGGGATGTGAGAGAAGGTATTTCTGACATGGAAAGCTCTTCCCAGATGAAGGGGTAGGACATCCTATCATCTGACCTAAGTGATGCACCTGTAAGACCAGCCAAGAGGTAGCCACAATCTACTCATCCTTTAAGGAACACACAGGTTCGATATCTCCAGAGACAGGCCCCTGGACGGACCAAAGAACTTTCTACAACTTTCCAAGAATTTTCTGTTTCTAAGAGCTTTCATCCAACTTGAATACGCTGGCAACTTTACACTTCCCTAGGATGGTCTTAAGATAGGATTTTTCAAAGTGCTCTGCTTGCATACCTGGGAGGCTTATTAATGGAAATGTCTGGCCCCATTTTCACCAGAAAGAGACATAAAATTCTGAGATGTGTTGCCCCAACGGTTTCTGAACCGTCACACTGACACCTTCCTCTCTTACATTAACCACATCTTGTCATATAGGAATTTCTATAGTGATATAAAAATGAAAATTATCTGGCACATTTCAGAAAATGTGTTTTATGAATGTGGAAAATGACTTCAGTTTGACCAACTAAAATTCCACTACTTCCTAAAAAAAAAATACCCAATTTCTGGGGACATGGGAACTAATGTCTACATTTCTAGACCTTGGAATCAAGCCCCAAATAGAGAAAACTGGTTGAAATTAAAGTTTCAGGATGATATCGACATATTTAATGGTCTCCTTCCCTAGTCCTTCACAGAAGTCTAGATTTGTGAAAGAAGTACATAAGGACCCATACTAAATGAATAATTAAGTTATGAATTTATTACTCTTTTTCTTCATCCTTTTGCTCCCCATCTTACACCCTGCTCATGTCCCTACCTTTTCCAGATAGTGGAGACAGGGTCTTTTTGTTACTAGTGAAGTAAGATTTTGTTTCTTGTATATGTCCTTATGAGGTCCCTTAAATACTCCCTTTTGCACACAGGCCTGTGACACACCATTCACTGAATGTTGACCCACTGATTAATTTTGATGGAACTCTCCAAGACTCTAAGTTATGCCAATGGCCTTTCATTTTCTCACAGAAACAGATTTCTCAGAGGTATCTAAGACTATCTTAAATCACGTTTCTCTCATCTGCCTGTATTTTCCTCATTTCCTTGAAACCTTCTATGTATCTATCTACCTACCTACTTACCTACCTGTCTATATATCCATTGATCGATCCATCCCTCATCATTTTTTATCTTTCTTCTCTCTCATCTATCTATCTATCTATCTATCTATCTATCTATCTATCTATAATCTATCTACCTACATACCAACCTATCTGTACATCCATTGATCTACCTATCTATCCATTCATCTATCCATCTATTATCATTTATCCCTATCCTCCTTCTCTCTCATCTGTTTCTATCTATCTATCTATCTATCTATCTATCTATTTATCTATCCATCCATCATTGATCAGCTCTTGACAAAGTTTACCTGATCTTATTTAGGCCTCCATTGTCTTCCCAAAGCAGGCTACTTAATGCCACTATCTACCTATTTACCAACTTACCAACTACCTACAAGTTTACCAAGTCTATTCATGGAAAAATTTCATTTAATATATAAAGGCATTCTGCCTCATCAGGAGACACATGCCATCTCCTGTCTGCAAGTATTTATTGAGGGAGGTAAATGATAGGGTCTCCTTCACAAGAAACCAGCTTGGAATCTGTGAGCCACAAAATGAAATGTATGGGAGCACTAGTGCAGGTTTTGTCCTGCTCTTTGTCACTGGCCCTTCTTCCTAAACAACGCTGCTCTGCTTCCACTGTAGGGAAAACCAAGGCCTTTTTGATCCAGACCACAGGCATGATAACCCAACTTCTCACCTCCCTACACCCTTGCGGCCTGCTCCTCATCAAGTCTCCCCACGTCAGCAAATGACACTTCCATCTGCTTGGTTCCTCAAAACAAAACTCTTGAAAAATAACTTCTTGATTCTCCCCTTACTCTCATATCCCACCTACAATCCACCAGAAGATCCTATTGGTTAGACTTTGAAAAGATGTTTCCATGTGCTTAATGTCCATTCCTCTCCGCTGCCACCATCTCATAGCACGGTTCCCTTCTCTCCAAACCAAAGGGACACTGCACTTTTAAATCTTTATAAAACCACCCAAGATCATTCTACATCAATGTAGATCATTCTAGATTATACCTACTGCTCCCTGTGCTTGGAGAACTCTCCACAACTCCTGATAAAGTTGACCTGATGTTATGTGGGTCTCTAGTGTCTTCCCGGGGCAGACTACTCAAGGCCACCTCCTCCCCCTTCAGCTATACACCGACTCAATTTCCAGTTTTGTTTTCTGCACCCACTACCTGGGTTCATCTTTATTTTTCTTTCTTTGCTTGTTCTCAGTTGTTTTTATAACCATTCTCTTTCATTAAAATTAATGGTAAATGAACAGGACTGCTGTCCAGTGTGAATGCCCAGCACCTAAAATTGCATTTTGCAAATGGTTGGTGTTCCATAAATATTTACTTAAGTTTTGCTCTAAAGGAACAGAAGGAATAGAGAGCTTTTTCTAATAGACTCATTCCCTTTTGGCTAGGATTCTATCTCCTTCTAACCTCCAATGACCTGCTTCCTGATGTACATCTAATAAAGAAGCACCCTGTTAGGGGTGACTGTCTTCAAGGCAGAGGAAATAAGAATACAGACCTTGAGAATCACCCCTGCTCAGACTTACAAAACTCATGCCGGCTTATGTAAATGTATGCAAATTGAATGCAAATAGCCTCCTAGTCCCTGTGACTCCTTCCAGTACCTGGAAGAGACCCTTGGGATAACCCTGCTGGAGACTGGAGCCTGCACTGTCAGGAAGATGGACAAAATGATCCTGGTTTTAAGTTCTCAGGCAGTCTGTACATCCTCAGGCCTTGCAAATTCAGAGATTTTGATCAAGGACATTAAACTGAACAATGAGGCTTATAACAAAAGAGAACAGCTGACAAAGCCCACTGCTCCCAGCCTCGCAGGGCCCCCCATGCAAGAAGGCTATGGAGCAGAGACCAGACACAGGAGCTGTGTATAGAGACCCCTCTGTGGTTGGGCCTCAAGGGGCTGCATCCAAATCAGCTAGCCCCCTCCTCAAATTTAGCTTCTCAAAGGTCATCTGCCAGCCAGCGGTAGAAAAACACTGTTAACTATGGCTGCATTAGGTGTTAAAAGGCAAGTCTGAATGCGCAAAAAAAAAAAAAAAAAACATGTGTCTTCTTTAGGGCTTTGTGGGGCTGGATATCGAAGAAACATATTCAAGAAAGCACCCTTAAATACACCACTGGGGTTTCACAGAACTGTTCCAATGCTTTCCAAAGATATCAACTGAGGATGCCAGGGACTTGGTAGTTGAAAGGGTGCATGAGGTGATACCCAAAATGAACAGTTACTTGCACATTGTGTTTGGTTCACCCGCTGTGGTGGTGGTGTTTTTTTTTTTTTCAACATATATTCATTGCCAACGTTTAGATTTCACTAAGATACAGGATTTCTGGTTTTCTTGAAAGTTTACTAGAAATAACCATTTTTTTGATTCAGAATCCCACACGGACAAATTTGCTAGAAGTGACCAGGGACACTCCACTTAGCCCCCAGTTAGCCACAAACATACCTGCTCCCTATTATATGCCTGGCTTTGAGGCCAAATATTAACAATCTTTTATTGTTATCCTGTCCCGTTTTTTCTTCTAGTAGAAAACTATCTTGCTTTGCCCAGTATGAAAATGAGAGTGCAAAAAAGAATGTGAGTCTTTCAGACCTTCCCTGCTCGTCTATTTTACCGGCTAGCCTCTGATGGCATCTGAATATTTGATCCTTAAATTAGTATGTCTATCAGGAAGTTCAGCTTACTATCTACAGAAAAAAAGAAGAGGACTACTTATTATTGAGATTATTGTGTAATTAAATTTTTAGGGCATTTTGTACCCCTGGGACTGTGTCGAGTACTTATCTCCGTAATAAGCACAAATACCCTAGAAAGTAGGTCCCATTATAACTCAGTTCCTACTTGAGAACACTGGTGTGTGGAGAGTTTAAATGACTCGCCTGCAGTTCAGTAGCCAGTCAAAGGCAGAGCTGATACAAAGTCTACTTCTCTCTCTCTAGTCTTGGATTTTTTGGTCCAATTTCATCCTCCCTAAGCTATCTGAGGGAAAAAAAAAAAGAGCCATATCCAACACCCAGGCTTGTCCAACATCCAGAGAATCCCTGTGAATGTGGTTCTCAACTTGTTTTGCATTGCAACCATTTGGTCTGCAGTGAACACAGTGGACCCCAGCTCCTGTCTGAGGGCTGCTGTCCTTAGGGGGAGTCAACAATACAGAAGCAGCCCTGTTCCGTCTTTGCGAAGCTCTTGGATAGTGTTTGCAGATCCCTGTATGTCGTCCTACAGTCTTCTCCTACATCTGAGTGCAAATGTCCTAGGAAATGGAATACCATGATGATGGGATTGTTATCTGTGTAGCAGAGCCTCGTAGCCAGGCACCTACTTGCATTTAGGGTCTGCTGTGACTCGCACTGGAAAGTTTGCAGCTTCCTAAGCTCTTGTTGGACATATAACTGAAGGAATGCATGAATGTGATGGGAGCATCGACAGTGATACTTCACCATGTGAAGATGACCTCACCAAGTGGTGATCCTAGGAAGGTATATTCGCCAAAGTGGAAGTTGGTGGTTTGTGACGATAAATCAGATGGCTAATATATGAATCTCACTGGTCACTTATTTTTCTCATTTCAGCATGACTTCGTGGGTCCTGACTTATCTTCTCTTCCCTGCCTCTAGCTCTACTGGGGTATAAGTGACAACTAAAAGTTGTAAGTATTTCAGGTGTATGACTTGTTGATTTGATATTACATATACACACAATCAAGCTAATTTACATATTCATCATCTCTCTTTCTTCTTTCTTTCTTTCTTTCTTTCTTTCTTTCTTTCTTTCTTTCTTTCTTTCTTTCTTTCTTCTCCTTCCTTCTTTCCTCCCTTCCTCCCTTCCTTCCTTTTTTGTGGTGATAATATTCCCTCGTAACATAGTCACTCTTGCTGAGGATCTGAGAGGACCCCATATCTTTTCGGTTAAATCATGTTGCAATTTATGGGGCAGTTTATCTGTAGTGATGATACTAATGAATTGTGGACTGGACAGGCTTTGAGAACTGCTTTTTTTTGAATACCGAAAGTCACCATGGTGTCCTCTACAGAAACCAGCTGCTTTATGTAATTAGGGTTTGTATTTGTTTCTTAAGGAAATTCAGCTTGTCATGGTCCATCCACCCCTTGCATCCTACACTCAGCCCATGTGATGGGACAAGCCTCCAAATGACCCCTTTCAGAAACATTTATGAGAAACACACATGACTTACTGCTGGAAGCTAAGAATGCATGGCTACCTGGAATGGGATGTGGGATGTTTATGCCAGCATCTGGCAGGGATTTGGGCTGAACGCTTAACAATCTTTTTGTTACTGTGGTGAGTTACCATTTGTGGGCAGTTCTGTAAATGATGGAGGGAAAGCAATGTAACAAGATTTTGTTCATAATAAAAGAGAAAGACTTCACTAATGACTTCATCTCTTCTAGCCTCAGTTTTTGCCTCTTTAAAATAGGGATAAGTATGTCCTCTTTAGAGGATTTCACGTGGGCCCAGTGCATTTAAAATGCTTAACAGAATGTCATACAGTCAGTGTTCCAGAGATGTTGGCTATTAATGACTGAGGTTTTTTTTTCTTTAAATGTTTATTTATTATTGAAAGACAGAGAGAGACAGAGCATGAGCATGGGAGGGGCAGAGAGAGGGGAAGACACAGAATCTGAAGCGGGTTCCAGGCTCTGAGCTGTCAGCACAGAGCCTGACACGGGGCTCAAACTCACAAACCACGAGTTCATGACCTGAGCTAAAATCGGACGTTTAACCGACTGAGCCACCCAGGTGTCCGTTAATGACTGAGTTTTGGATTGTGTCCCCACATTCCACGGGGCCAGTTTTCAACCCCCAGGTGGGACACAGATCAATAACTCTTTAAAATAAATATGCATCCATATGGCTTACAGAATAACATTTGGCTTCCCTTGCTTCATTTTCTCATGTGAACAGTACACCTGACCACCTCTGCACATGCGTGACAGTGGCCGTGGAAGCACGTGTGCATGCACACACACATACACACACAGTTGCTACTTCATAATTTAAGGAAATGGCCAATAGTCGGGTCAATGCCATCTCATATTAACTCTGGCAAGTTGCAGAGTTTTTTCTTTTTACCCAAGTAGAAAGGCTTCATGACATACAAATCAGAAGTTTGCTTCATTTCAGCACTGGGCATTCAGAGTCTGTTGTGGAAATTTTCTATTCCCTTTCAGGCCATGTCTCGGATGTTGTTGCAGCTAGAAACCGGGTCAGCAGAATAGATAAATCCTCTGGTCTTTCAAGTTAGAACCCTGCTAAACTGACAGTATTTCTCTGTGTAATGGGCCCCCTTTAAAAATAGGAATGGACTGACTTAGCCCAATTGATAGCCATTGGCACAAGACAAAGAAAACCAAAATCGAAACTAACAAATGCTAATACTACCGTTTTTAACAACAGAAACAAAAAAATGGGGCTCCTGGGTGGCTCAGTCGGTTAAGTGTCTGACTTCAGCTCAGGTCATGATCTTGCAGTTTATTAGTTCAAGCCCCATGTCGGGCTTTGTGCTGACAGCTCATAGCCTAGAGCCTGCTTTAGATTCTGTCTCATTCTCTCTCTCCTCTTCCCACTTGTGCTCTGTCTCTCTCTGTCTCTCAAAATTAATGTAAAAAATTTTTTTTAAATAATTAAATGTCAATCAGTATGGAAGGTAAGACTAAACCCATATATCCATTTCATGGTATCTTATGTAACCACTAAAAAGAATGGGTTTGGTCTGTGTATTAACATCAAACGAACTCCATATTGATTTATAAAAGCCAATTAAAAATGATGTGCACACCATGACATAATTTATATGAAAAGCACATACACAATACTGTGAATACTATAAATATATATTACATATACATGCATAAAAAAGCAAAGTTAAAGTACACACAATAATCTAATGGTGGTGTTCTCCGAGGGGGAACTAGAATACCAAGCTGGTAGAGGCATTATTCAAAATATATTTACCTTTTCCTTTAATGTTTCTTTCTCATTTTTTCTTTTTTTTTAAAAATGAGTCTGCATTTCCATGTTGCACATGTAATTAAGAAGTTAAAAATGGAAAATATCATTCCTTTATCACAGTAATAAAACTGTTATTTTTTAAAAACCTACAAAACAAAGGAAAAATATCTTCCAGTCTTATAATTCAACTCAACCGTGAACATTTTGACGTAATGCCTTCCATAGTGTAGTTGAAATCATGCTATACCTTTTCATTAAGAAAAAGTTTCATTCATCAGGAAGCCCTGCATCTTCCTTATCTTGCTCATTTTAGTGGGTATAATGTTCCACTGAGTGGTTATAATTAAACCTACTGTATTACATTCATACCTAGCTTTTTGGCACAATTAAGCATGTGATTAGCATACCGGCAGCTACCCCTGTCCCCCATATATATCTTAAGAGAGATGTATTCTGAGAAGGATTACAGAATCAAAATGGTGGAACTTTTCAATTCTTGTACAGACGCGAGATCTTATTATGAGGAATTCTGAGACAGCTTCTTGGTTAGTGTGAGTAGAGATACGTTGTCCTGAAGGGGTCTGCAGTATACAGCAACATCTATATCTGTCCCCAAACAGCACTGGGCAACCCAGAGAAACAGAAAAACCGCACTCATGCTATGGAGCTCAGCAGGAAGCACCCTCCAAGCCATTTAAAATCCTAGTATCGGGGCACCTGGGTGGCGCAGTCGGTTAAGCGTCCGACTTCAGCCAGGTCACGATCTCGCAGCAAGTGAGTTCGAGCCCCGCGTCAGGCTCTGGGCTGATGGCTCAGAGCCTGGAGCCTGTTTCCGATTCTGTGTCTCCCTCTCTCTCTGCCCCTCCCCCGTTCATGCTCTGTCTCTCTCTGTCCCAAAAATAAATAAACGTTAAAATCCTAGTATCTCCAGAGCAGACTCAATGCCAGAACCAAATTCTGCTGTCCCTCTTCCAGAAATGACTAAGGATCAACAAGGAGGTTGGGGGGGGGGGGGGAAGGAAACACACCAAACCTCCATTCTCCCTCAACTTACTATAATAACAGCAAATTAAGTGACCCAGGTAACCCTGAATAATTACTTGTATCTCACTCCAAATGGGAGTTATTCTAGAGGGACTGGAGGAAGGGCATGTACGCTCTACCTGAAAATGAAACTTGCCTCTGCCCTGAAATGATCTTGTTTAAAGAATGATTATTGAAGTCTCACTGGCAGACGGTGTCACAATAGCTTCACGGGGACTACGCGGCGATCGGACAACTCTGTCCCTGCCTCAGTGCTCACCCTGAGTATGTGTCGTCCCTGAAAAGTATCTGATCAATGCAGGTGGTTCACTGTAGCAGGTCAGCAGTTAGGGCACGGGAGCCACTGTGAGGCGACTGTGGCTTGTTGAAACATATCCCCCCGTTACATCATTGAATAGATTCAGAGGTAGAGATGATTGCTTGTTGAAGGCCAATCTCTACTTACCATTTGTATAAGGGTTGACAGTCTTTTTATTTGTCATTACACGTGCTGTGGCATTATTTACCTACGTACATAGAAAACTCAAATGAGCACAAATGCTAGGACTGGCCCACAGTTCAATTAGTTGCATGCATTATGACTGTGATTACTTATTTAAAAAAAAAAACTAAAATGCATTTTAATTTATAAAAGGCAGTAGATGCATAACAAAATCATACATTTTTATAATTACATTTACTTCATAACCATTTTAACTTACAAATCATTTCAATAAAGCAATGTCATATCATTTAAAAGTTTAATAAGGAGACAGTAAAAGCAAATTAAAAGGAACTGCATAATTGAAGATTGAAAAGCATGCATGTACTCCATGGTAACACAGAAACAATAAATATTTTTAAACACAAAATAAAATTCATATGAAGGAACATGCAGTGGAGTAGAAGGGGGAAGAGACAAGGTACAAGGGAACATAAATGTCAAAAAACAAAAAACAAAAAAAAAAACAAAGAAAAGAAAAAAGGGACAAACAAGATTTAGCCGTGTGCAACACTTTAGGAAGGAAGAACCATCGGGGAAGCAACATCTAGCATTCAACACTAGGAACAAGAGCCTTTGACATAGCAAGAATTAACAAGATCATTCAAGCTTGAAAGTCACAGCTAACAAAAGGATAAAAGAGGGTGCATCGTTTAACACAATATGGAGTTAACAATCTGAGTAAGATGTGCACTGTCATATCCCAATCCAATCAGTGCCTCCCAGGCTCGCTTAGAACGTACACTCAATTACAGGCGTACCGGTACCCAAAAAAATAGAGCATCAAGAAAACTTAATACGACAAGTCAAAAAAATCCACGTGGTATATATATGTATATAGATAATCAGCACTAAATACGTCAAGCGGCAGATGGACTTCACCACTTACCATTCACCACCATCGCCAGCATGGGTTTGTATACAGTTACCATGGTTACTGAGAGTTTGGTGAGGGGCCTAAGCGTTATCGTCGAGGGGGGGGAATGAAAGGCAAAATATGCAACATCTTACTCCAAAGACTAAAGCATTTTTAACTGGTATTTTTTTTTTTTTAAGTTTTAACAAATATAACCCTGTGGCCAGGTTGAGGGAGATCCAGTGGTAGAAAGAGTAGATTCTGAGTATCGAAATTTTAGCATTTTTTAATATTTATTCATCATTATTATTTTTTTTTTTCAGTGAAAAGGGGCCAGATATTGAACAGGAAATCCTGTTGGTTATTCACTTTATTATCAAAATGATACAAAGATTCCAACTGGCTTGTTTAAAAAAAAAAAAAATGAAAGGTTCAGTGACAAAGACCTCTCATTTAAAAAAACAAAACAAAACAAAAAACAATTGTACATTCCAATGCTACTCTGCTTTCACCATTTGGCTCAATTTGGACACCACTGTGGATCCCTCGTCAACCCTGCAGTGGAAAGAGAAAAGAAAAGAAAAAAAAAAGGATAAAAAGAAAAAAAAAAAAAAAGAAACTGCTCTGTATTTTGTCTTGTTTTGCACTCTGTCTCCCCTGGCTGGGAATCTATTGCACCCATTAATGATAAAACACAGAAAATTAAAAAAAAAAAAAAAAAAAGTTCCGATTAACCTTTCCTGTGTCTCCCTTATTGCCATTCACCTTTTCATCAGTAATAAGAATGACAGGATAAAGTAAAATTTAAAAAAAAAAAAAGTAAGGCCAGTTTTCCTTTTTATATATAAATATATATATATATATATAAACAGTGAGGAGGGAACAGGGTCACATACAACACACGGTGATGCATCTGGCACGACGAATGAGCGCGAAGCAGACATTTATGAAAAAGATGAAAAGGAAAATATTTTGGACATGCACCTCGATTTTACGGCCCTCTACCACGGTGCCGTGTAATTTCTCCCTCGCCCTGTCCGCATCGGCACTATTTTCGAAAGTTACGAAACCAAATCCCTGCATGCAGGAGGGAAAAGGGAAAACAACATGCAGATTATTATTCCAGTCAACGACCACTGCGGAACGTTCTCTCGTTTTAAGTTCTATTGCTTGTCCTGGCTTCAGTTCTGTAACATGCAAATTAGAGAAATTATAAGGATACGAAGGTGTGCAATAAGTAAGCGACACATGTGAACGAGATTTTTTTTTCTGTCACCCGTGATCTGTAACCCCCTGAAGAATTCAAAGAAGGATACCAAAGATACCTCTCTACATGACACTACAGAAGAAAATAACTCTAACAGAAAGGAGATGAGATCCAAATCAATTTACAGTGTCTTCACAGAGAAGAAAATGAAATAACGGGGGGGGGGGGGGGAAGGAAAAAAGGAACCGCTTTCTGGACATGCAAATTAAGAATAAAATAAAATAAAACGTGTGCACGAAATTCAACAATGAATGCCAAAATCTTCTAACATTGCCTACAGAGTCATGCCGTGTGGTTTTAAGAACATCTCTCGTTCATGCAGTTTTAGGGTTATTCAAATTGGTCAAGTTTACAGCCTTTACTTCTCAAAAATAAAAATTAGAAGCCTAAAAAAAAAGGAAAGACCTTTTTTTATAATAAATCTCAAACTCTTTGATCTAATAAACAAAATAATCACATGAAATGAATTGAAATAAATATCAATGGATTAATAACAATGCAAACAGTTCAAGTAACTTTTTTTGTATTAATTACCCCCACCCCGCCTCAAAAACATTTGTCCTTCTGTATCTGTTAACTTTCCAGGCTACTTCATTAACCGAAAAGGGAAATGTGTATACATATACTGTAACGTTCTAACACATTATCTTGATATTCATTTCTCAAATCAACAGGTAGAAAATAAAGAAGCTTTTGTTCATAGAACGTTATTCACAGTAACACTCTGGACACTTCCTCTCTTACTGATAGGTAACAAATTAGACTAGACCCTGTACTTCGCCACTGGCATACTTTGTTTTAATATTTCAGCCTCGAAAAACAACCCCACTAAACGTCACATTGTCAAAAGCCACCTTTTTTTCTTCACTGACACTGTTCCTAAGAAGAGTACAGAAAATATGACACATTATTTTTAAAACCCCTAAAAATATTTGTACATCTTGTTCAGAAATATACACCAACCTTTTGAAACCATTCCAGCGTAAATTTGCCCAACTTGCTCTGGTTCTCACAGCGTAAACTGGGTGAGACAATGCAGTGTGTTGGGATTCCTATTTGGAACTGAGTAAACGTCAGTAAAGGGACAGCTGGTTTTAAGCTTAACTGGGGCAGTTTGATGTCCAGTCTCATTAATGAAATAGACAGTAATTACAAATAATAAGTGATCCTTAACCAGCTGGTGCTAACGCCCAACCCCTCACTAGGTTGCTAAAGCGATTGCCAAACCTCAGGGTGTTAAGAGAGGTGTTGCCCCATGGTCTGCCTGAGTGAGGACTTTCCAACATCAATATGGGCTCATGGGTAGAAGATACCAGGTGTGGATGCACTCAAGCTAAATTAAGTGATTATGTGACAGAACTCAATGGGAAAAAATAGAAGCAGCTTTACTTTGGAGGACTGGACTGAAGAATCTTTCATAATCTTTCCCACAGTGAGGATCTGTGAGTAGGACAAGTCTGGATTATTTGATCAATATGAGACTTTATGCTCTATAACAGAAGGGCCTTCTTGGTCTCATACCCACATTAGGTATCCAAATATACTGGCAAACTGATTAGTTTTGAAATAATAACCCTTCAATGGACTAAAGACACAATTTGGGGGGTTTGCTCTATTAATGGCTCTGACTCTTGGCCAGTGGGTCCCAAACTTGGTTGCACAATGAAAGAAACTGGGGAATAGAGTGTATTAGGTAGATTCCTGACAGGGCTCACAGCTACCTGATCAGAGCTCCAGAGTGGAGCCCAGAAATCTGTTTGTTGAAAAAGCTACTGTGTGGTCCAGCAACTCCATTTCCATGGCCTCTGCTATCACCAGGCACCATCCAAACACAGTTTCGGTTCATTGTATGAGGTGGAATACTACGTTGCCTACTTCCAGGGAGCAGCCGATGGAGAGGTGTGAGTTTTGGAGGTGGATATCTATCTGACTTGCTTATTCAGATCCAAAGTGCAGGGGTACAGCCATTATCTTATGGCAATGTCCACTTCCTCCCCTCAAAACCTAACCACCTAGCATGCCCAGAATGTCATACATCTAACAGATTAGGGCAGCGAGGACTCGGGCTATAGCGGGGACAATTCTCTCCCTAGCAAGCAAAGAAAATGCACAGTCCAAGTCTTATCAATGGAGGGTTCTGTGGCCTCATTGCTATCCGCGGATACCAATCATTAGCATCACAGCGCCTGGGAAAACGGAACATTCGACCCACCTGCCAAACGTCATCCCAAAGAATCACGTCATCATGATTCTTGTCTGGCTCCAAGGCAGACGATACTGGCTTAAAATCAGCACTACGTGCACCAGGGACACACGAAGGTGGAGATAGAAATAGGTTTAGAATCCCATGGAAAGTTTGTAAACTACAAAGCAAGTGGCTCCCTACCTACCTAAGTTCTCCCTTCGTCTTAAAATAAGATACTAAATATATGGATTCTTATTCTTACTCTCACTTTCTGCTAAACGTCTCTCCCTCTCTCTCTCTCTCTCTTTTTCTTTGAGGTCCTCAATACCTCTTTCCTGCTATTGAGATGACTAGTTAAGATTCTACAAAGTCAGGTTCAGAAGTGCTTATTCCAGAGACAGTCCCAAAATACCAAAGGGACTGTCCTACCTTTTCCATTGGACAGTCACACCTCCCCACAGGCAAGAAGTGATCTGGCCTCCCTGGGCCAGAAGATTGCTAGAATTCTCATCTGGGGGGAGATGCCAGTGACTTGGCAGTTTTTAGGTACCCTCCCGGCCAAGTGCAGGTGCTGGGTAAGTCCAAGACCAGTGCTGAGGTTACTTCTTTTAGCCTACATCAGGGTCAGCTTTTTATCTCAAGGAAGCACAATGTGGAGTTCTTAAAAACATTCTGGATATTTTTATCTCAGACTTAAAGAGGGGAAATGGAAGAAGCATGTTTTGGACTTGGCCTGAGAGCATGGGAAGGGGGTGCAGATCTCAAGCGCATGGGGCCCACAGAGCGGAGGGACATGGTCTTTGCTGCAGGAGAGGCACTGGTCCCAGGGCCACCTCAGGAGATGGCTGGAGCCGAGAGAAGGCACAAAGCTGACTAAGAGACCTGGTAATGTGTGCACAATAACGGGGCTCTCAAGATGGGCTGCAAGGCCAGTGTGACTTGCTTGTTTTAAAGCCTTTGGTGAATCTGGGGCACCTGGGTGTGCCAGTCGGTTAAGCATCTGACTCTTGATTTCCACTCAGGTCACGATATCACAGTTCTTGAGTTCGAGCCCCACATCAGGCTCTGTGCTGACGTGACGGGGTCTGCTTGGGATTCTGTCTCCCTCTCTCTCTAACCCCTCCCCTGCTTGCTCCCTCTTTCTCTCTCTCTCTCTCTCTCAAAAAATAAATAGACATAAAAAAAAAGTCTTTCATGACTCGTGAATTCTGACCTTCCCATATCTCAATGATTTTTCCATTTTGGTTTTGAGGTATATGGGTAGGTCATACCTTCTTTTTGTCGTCGTCGTCGTTGTTGTTTGGGGGATACCTTCCTTTTTGTATCAATGCAAAAATAACATTTTGTATGTTAAATCAAGGCTCTGAAGCACCCAGGACTGAAGAGTGTGCCATTGTTTTCATCTTAGGTGAAAACCCAACTCCTCTAGTTGCTGGTGCAAAGACCTGTCTAGAAGAGGTGGCTGCTGATACCACTCTAAAGATTCATTTTTCTGGGGGACTAAGAGTTTCACAGCTCACTTCTTCCCACTCACCTCTGCACACACAGCTCCTTCTCCCAGGAAGACCACCTGACCTACCTCCTTCCCTTCCCTGGGAAACTCCTACTCATGAGAAAGTTCACTCGCAGCTTAAACGTCCCTTCTTCCCAGAAGCCTTACCACCCCTCACAACACGGGTCTGCCTGCTTGGCTTCTCAGTAGCCTCTTACGTGCCACACAGCACAGCCTGCAATATTGCATTTGGGTGCCCTCCCTGCCCCCCTCCCCAACCCCCGCCAACTACTCAGGAAAATCTCTGAGGACAGGAAGCACTTCTGTTTCCCTTACCATGAATTCACCTGTCTTCTCGTACCTGGAAGGGAACCAGTCCTCACAGGTAGCTACGGAATCAAAGATCAGACCGTATACTTCCTACATGTATTATGCGCTAGGGGCGCCTGGGGGACTGAGTCCGTTAAGCATCCGACTCTTGGTTCTGGCCCAGGTCATGATCTCACAGTTCATGGGTTCGAGTCCCACGTCAAGCTCCATGCCGACAGTGCACAGCCTGCTTAGGATTCTCTCTCTCCTCCTCTCTCTTCCCCTCCCCTGCCCTCTCTCTCTCTCAAAATAAATAAATAAACATTAAAAAAAAGGAAGTAGCTCTATCTGGCTGTATCCCCCAAACACAATACTTTAGAGCTAAACAAAATGTTTTTAAATCTCATAAAGGAAAAAAAAAATTTAAGATCTCTGACCCCTAAATGCTATCATATTCTTATTTTCAAAGTCTGGCACGTCTTTTTAAAATGTGGTTTCCCCGTACACTTGCTACCTGTGTATACATTTATGCTCTACATTCTCAGGATAACATAGGCACTGTCTGTGTTTGTATAAGGTATATGAACATGCACACCCCTTCACCCCCAAATATCCCCAACATACAGCCGTACTCACTGGGCACTGCAGGACCTGCCTCGGGGACCGTCTCCAAAGAGAATGGCCAGAAGGTGAGCTCCTAGCTCTTAAGGGCCACCCACTTCCCCTGGCTGCTTCTCCTGCACCAAATGATGAAAATGAGGTCCTCACAATGGTTCAGGTTCCTCAACTATTTAAATGGCAATGTTCCTTTAAATAGGGCCCTTTCCTGTAAAGGATGATGCCAAGTATGAAAAATGTCCTCGTGTGAGCTGCTGTCCCTATTTAGCAGGTGCCCCAAAGGACTGTCTGGATGACACTCCAGTTAGCACCTGCAAGACGGGTTGTTTCCGAGGAAGCATACCCAGCCAGAGAGGCTATTTTTGATGTCTCCTAATCAAAAGGAAAAAGCAGGTTCACAAAGTCAGTCTCTGGATGCAGCAAACTTAACTGGTCTTCATTGCTAAAGCCCCAGAGACAGGCTAATCACGGCAATGACGGGGGAAGTATTAAAAATAGTACCTCCACTGTACTTTCAAAATAGCAAACGATATTCTTCTAATGTCCCAAAACAGCTCTCGAAAGGAATTAGATAGCTTTTTCCAACGGGCAAACGTTACAAAACAAAATATAAATTAAATATAAATTTTAAAAAAGGCAGTCTTTAAAAGCAGTAGAATTACAGACTCAGGATTAGAAGGAAGTTGGCCAACATTCCGGGTCATCTTCTAGGATTTTGCCAGGAACGCATCAGGCCTGAGTGAAAGGGATTAGGCCGTGTACATTTTTTGCTTTTCTTTTTATTTTTTAAATTTTTTTTTAACATTTACTCATTTTTGAGAGACAGAGTGTGAGTGGGGGGCAGAGAGAGAGGGAGACACAGAATCTGAAGCAGGCTCCGGGCTCTGAGCTGTCAGCACAGAGCCTGATGTGGGGCTCGAATTCCCAGACTGCGAGATCATGATCTGAGCCGAAGTAGGATGTCTAACCTACAGAGCCACCCAGGTGCCCCTTTTCTTTTCTTTTTTAAAGATTTTATTTTTGAGTAATCTCTACACCCAATGTGGGGCTCAAACTCATAACCCTGAGATCAAGAGTCACTGGCTCAATGGACTGAGCCAGCCGGGTGCCCCTGGGCACATTTTTTCTTAAATTGTTTTTTAATGTTCATTAACTTTTGAGAGACAGAACAGAGTGTGAGTGGGCAGAGGGGCAAAGAGAGAGGGAGACAGAATCCGAAGCAGGCTCCAGGCTCTGAGCTGTCAGCACGGAGCATGATGTGGGGCTCAAACTCACTGACCGCAAGATCACGACCTGGGCCAAAGTCAGACACTCAACTGACTGAGCCACTCAGGCGCCCCGAGGGCACATTTTTTCTTTTTTTTTATAAATTTTTTTTTCAACGTTTTTATTTATTTTTGGGACAGAGAGAGACGGAGCATGAACGGGGGAGGGGCAGAGAGAGAGGGAGACACAGAATCGGAAACAGGCTCCAGGCTCCGAGCCACCAGCCCAGAGCCCGACGCGGGGCTCGAACTCCCGGACCGCGAGATCGTGACCTGGCTGAAGTCGGACGCTTAACCGACTGCGCCACCCAGGCGCCCCGAGGGCACATTTTTTCTTAATGCACTTTGCATTGCAGGTATAGAAACAGCCCCTGTAATAATTTTCACACAAGAAGCAGAAAGTTAACTTACGTTTCTCCCAGACTAGAGGTCCCACCACTGATATAAGAATGACAAAAAAAAAAAAAAAAAAAAAAAAATCCAAAATTATGGAGGAAGAAGGTCCCTGAACAACAGAACCAGAGAGTATAATGAATTGATTCTTTTTTTTTTTTTTTTCCTCATCTGGCATATTGCAACATCATTTTGGCTATGGAGAGGAGAACACTGGATTTTCTTCCCTCACAGCAATCTGCAGCATCCCATTTAGGAGGGTAAGTGTGCAGACTGCCCAGGGAATAATACATTCAAATGCTTCCTTCATGGAAGGAGGTATGCTATGCCCACTGTCCCCCTTGGAAAAAAACAGGTCTTCTCTTAACCCTCCTGGATACTGACTTGTCCCAAGTCACCTGTATAAGAAAAGTTATAGGGCTAAATCCAGTATCTCTGTATCTGACAAGCGATTTGTCCCAATATCCACTTTCACAGTCTGAAGATGTAAGAAGGGAGCTTAGAATTCTGGACAGCTTGGGGACTGGCACCAGGGATTTAGAACTTCAACAACAGGCCTGGAAGGTCTCGTAAAACACAGATTGCTGGGCTCCAATTTTGAGTATCTGATTAGGGCTGGGTTGGACCCTGAGAATTTGCCTTTCTAAGTAACTTCCTAAGTCCTGCTGCTCCTGTGGGGATTGCATTTTGATGACCACTGAATGATACAGGGGATACATTGAGAGACATGGGCCTTTCCCCCCCAACCTAATGTATTTCCATGTTGAAGGGGCCTCTCCATATAACCCTCGACTTTTACTAACACTCTTCCCTCTAGGAAAATCTACTTTAAAATTGGTCTCCTACTGGGGAAAAAATTCAAAGCAATGGCAAATTGCAAAATGTGGAGTGGTGAATATACTAAGGAAAGCAACTTCATTCGAAAGGTTGGTGTATGTGAAAATTTCCTCCCCTGCAACCCAGGAAAATAACTGCACTTTATTAATACAGAATAATCACATATTTACCTGCGCATGAGACTAGCAACTCACTTTTTAATATAAAGAACATAATTATCACTGAAAAACAAAAATGTAGCAACAACATTATTTTTTAAGCATGGGCAATTTTCCTCTGGAAACTTGATATATATATAAATAGATATAGAAATAGAGAAATAGATAGGTATAAAACAGCAATTTTAAATTACCCCCCCCTTATACATTTACACTAAACCCAATGTATTTCCCACCATTTTGGAAAGCGGAGGAGGTCTCTAAAGGAATTCCCACTAAAGTGTATTTTCACAATGTGCTAATTAAAACAGTGCAGTTGTTTTCCATTATGCACAGCAAACGTTTAAACATAAGCTAAGCAATCCTGAGGTAAATTAAATTGCTTACCTTTGAGCCTCGCTCATTAAAAATAATTTCAACATCTAAGATTTTACCAAATTGCTGCAAAGAAATAGAAATGTTTTATAAGCAAGAGAAATGGGATAAATCATCTTATGCACATTGGTAACTGTACCCCAAGTCAGAGGGTTTTTTTTTTTCCTCTTTTATTATCAAGGATAGGCATTTTAAGTTGTTTTATCCTTAGAGGAGCGCTTGAACCAAGAGACTGGAACCACACACAGATTTCCATCTTGCTGGATACCCCACCAAGTGAGAGGGTGTAGCATTGGCCTGGGGCAAAATGTATGGTCAAGTGGTTAGTTCCACTTCCCTTTTTTTATGTGTGTGCAAGAACTTTCCCAGGCACTGAGCAGCGAAAATGAAAACTGGTTGGTGTGTAAACTGATCCTCCTATGCTACTCTACTCCACTAGCTACTGGGAGAAACCTCCTGGAAGAGGTGTGCTTTTCATAAGAAAATGTCCAGGTAGAATCTGATGATGAGGATTATGGCCCTTGGCCCCAGCATAAGCAAGAGGAACAGTGAGGCCACGGAAGAGAAGTCAAGTCCAAAGAGATAAAAGCAAGATCCTCCAGGTGGATATCCATCATAATCAAGACACCAGCGTAGCTGTGATTAGCCCTCGGGCTGAAATGTACTTCTCTCAAAATGATTCCTCATTTTGGGGTTTTTTTTTTTCCAACGTTTATTTATTTTTGGGACAGAGAGAGACAGAGCATGAACAGGCGAGGGGCAGAGAGAGAGGGAGACACAGAATCGGAAACAGGCTCCAGGCTCTGAGCCATCAGCCCAGAGCCCGACGCGGGGCTCGAACTCCCGGACCGCGAGATCGTGACCTGGCTGAAGTCGGACGCTTAACCGACTGCGCCACCCAGGCGCCCCAGATTCCTCATTTTGTTAAACAAACAAATAGATTTTAGACAATCAGCACGAATAGACTCTATAAGGGGTGAAAGCAACTTGACACATTTAGGCCCGGAACCATGGTTTCGGATTACAAATAGGGCAGCCAAATAACTCACGGATGCCCAGTTACATTTAAATTTCAAAATTTTCAGGATAATTACATCCCCTGCAATATTTAAGACATACCTATACTTAATAAAATATGTTATCTACAATTCAGATTCAACTGTTGTTATCTCATGTTTGTCTTTATTTGCTAAATCTCATAGTCCTAGGGAGACGTGCACGTCAAACAATTTGTGATTCATACTTTTAAAAAAAGGGAACATGGACTTGGAATCAGAAGCATCTGATAGTCCAAAATCTTTTCCCCTTGATATTGGAGTCTCTTCCTTTTTCTTAGCTTGCATGAAGTACAGTGGGTATTTATTTATTTAACTTTTTGAGCGTGCAGGTGGGAGGGGGTTGTTGTGAAAGTATGCGACATGGCCCAGGGAAAGTATGACGGGAAATTTACCCTGATGCAGAATTAGGGCGAGTGCTTTTAGTGATTAAAAAAATAAATGGAACCACACGAAGTAGTATGTCCATCTTTTCTTCTTTTATTTTGAGCTTTTGTATTATTCCATTTGCTTTTGCAGCCTGGATTTTTATTGCGTCCTTTGTTGCCCTAAGAGATGCTGCATTCTGTCTTTTTCCCCAGGGTAGAAAGCATTAAGCAGCCTCCATGTTGCAGAGGACAGAGTGGCTGGGAGGGAAAGAAAAGGAACCAAAGATAAGAAGACAGAGAAGAGAAGACAGCTCCCCTGGCCACTATACACAGGATACCAGGGGGCCCTGAGAATAAGTGCGAAGAGGGTGCAACTAAGATTTGAGAACAAAATTATTTGAAACATACAGAGGCTATCCTCTGGAACATACAAATAAATCTACCTTCCCTGGAAAGGCAGAAAAAAAAAAAACTATGCACACTCCAGTTGAAGAGAAAGAGCTCAAAACCTTGAAACAAAAGTAGTTTGATGAGAAAAAGGGAATCCAAAGCTATGTGATGGAAATGTGCCCATCCCCCAGGATACAGAGGCAGTCAGGGGACTGCGCCTTGAATTTGTCTTGTGGAGCGGACATGTTTCTCTTCTTCCCGGAGAAGTAGAAGGCTAGGAAGAAACAAAGAAGCAGTTGGGCTGGGAGAGGACAGGGGAGGTCTACAGTGCCAGCAGGAGAGATGGAAATACCAAGAAACTCACAGGTAACTCACCCTGCAATTGATGGACACTCTAATTTCCTTTTGGTCAAGAGAATGTTCTTCTATGGAGCATTTTCTGTGCCCTAGATTTGGGCAGAGAAAGTTGTTAAAAATAGAAGAAAAAAACTTCCAGGTTTGGGAAATGCAGGATTTGCCGTTGAAAGGGGAGCTGAGTTTCATAGTAAAAACTCCTCCCGTTTGTGAACTCCTCAGAAGCAGTGATTTTGATATAACCTCCTCAGAATATTCAGTCCACACAGATGCTATCATATTTATTTCAGGCCTGAGAGCACGAAAGCACACATATTTATGAGCGGGGAAGCTTGAAAAGGATTCCTTCCAAAACCATGAAGCAAATGTCATCTACGGAACATTCTCTAAGCAGTCAACATGAAAACACTCCCTTTAAAATAAGATCTGGTTGAAACAGAACCAACCAATCAAGAAGTAATCCTAGCATGTGTCATTCCCTAAATGAAACAATGACACCATATGCCCTGAAATGGTCTCAAATGTTTGCCTCTTTGGCAGTTGCTACTGGGTGGGTGATTCTCAGAGCCAGAGAAGCAAGCGAAGCAAACGGGCAAGAAGAATACTGGTGTGAGCCCCATTTCGAAGACAGTTGCATACTGTATTTATAGTATCAACAGTTTAATTGGGAAGTTTGGTACTAATGATGTAAACACAGCTGGCACACGTTCAGTTTAAACAGACACGGCTCGCTCGCAGACATTAACTCGCATTTGTCTGCTCAACACCCATGGTTAGCCACGTTCCACAACAACTCCAAATCCACGCAAGGGGTCTCAATAGCTGTATCAAGAACAAAATCCAGAAGCTTACAGGCATGCACTGGAGCAGGTACGTACCAGGCATTTTCAGACAGTCTCAGATCAAATAATATTTCCCTGAAAAACTGTGAACGATGTTCAACGGTTACAGCATAAAACATGAAAGTAAAGGTTAGTTCAAAGAGTGTACATGGAGGCTAAGAAAAGGCACCGTCTCAGTTTTCTTTGGGTTGGCTTCATGTCTGGAATGCAGAAGTTAGGAGGCACCAGGCCAGGTCCAAAAAAAAAATAAAAATAAAAATAAATAAAGCCTTCATTGCTTCTAACCGCACGGTGCATGGAACTTTGCCAGTAACACTAAAGGGGCAGACATCTCTGTTTTATTACAAAGAGGTGATCATGAAAGCTTCTTTTGCATGTTCTGAAAGTCATGTGGTCTGTTTCTGGGTGACAATTATGAGTGATTTCACTAGATCATGCATCATGCCTAGAGGGTTTGTATTTTGATAACAGAAGCAAGGCTGTGCTATAAACAAGGGTATTGTGCACATTTGAATCCTATACTCCATGAGTAGTTATTTCTGAAAACAGTCCTGTGATACAATGTGTCCTGTCAGTGGTCTGGATATATCATAACCACCTCTCTCACTCACCTAGATACCTGTACACTTCTAAAGGTAAGGTAAAGAATCATTCTGCTCAGGAGCAAGCCATTACAATCAATTTGGAGGAAATCCACACATTTCTTTCATGGGATCATCAAGATTTCAAACATAAAGAAAAGGCACTCTCACGAATGCTTCCTGAAATAAGGACAGAGCTCAAGACTGAAGTAGCCAGGCCAGAAGCAATATTTCTTACAGTGAAACACCCAGAACCAATGCCCCTGATCTGTTCCTTTCGGCCCCAACTGGTGTTTTAAAAAGACTCTGGTTCCACTGTGGCCAGGTAACTTCTTGACCAAAGACTGTTCTATGAAAGGGAAGGGGAGGGGAGGGGAGGGGAGGGGAGGGGAGGAAAGGAAAGGAAAGGAAAGGAAAGAAAAAAGAAAAGCAGGAAAGAAAGAAAGAAAGAAAGAAAGAAAGAAAGAAAGAAAGCAAGCCTGAACTTAGAAGATTTAATGCCAAACGCTAGAATAAATTCATCCAAAGGAGGAGGAAATAAAGAATGCCAAGTACCGAGTACATGGTGGGAAAAAGGTAACCAGAATCGTGATGAACGGGCCCTGAAGCCACAAATTAAAAACAAAATGTGAGCCTCGTGCAGTGACCATCAGGCCTGCAGAAGTTGCAAACTTCACGGCTGAATTACTAATGGTGGCAAAAGGTGTTTACGAACACGGCCAGGTTTTGGGCAGTTTGAGAAGAGAACTTCCTCTTTTGTCTTGTTTTGGTTTCAGTTTCAAATCCCCATGGCCGCATTTAACAAAAGAGACAAAGGAGAAAAGCCCAAAAATCTTGGAGAGGGTTTTTCTCTGCAATCACCCCCATTCTAGCTCCTGTTAAAGTGAAGGGACAAAGGGAAAATAGAGCAATAAAAGGTAAAAAAAGAGATCTCATGTCCAGCCGACTTGGAACAGGCCTGAGTGGAATCAAAATGTGGTATCTTACAATAACTATGACCGCAAAGAAACCACACTTAATTCTCTCAAGTGGAATGTGGGGAGCCAATCAGAATGTGTACAGATGCCTTTCAATGTGATTCAAGCCACCAAGCTTGTCGTATAACCAGGATGGGCTTACCACCACCAATGCTTGGCTGGGAACAACAGATTTTTAGCTTTGAAGTTCCGTTTTTCGGAACAGAGGTTGTAAACCAAAGAGGCCTCAGCATTATTACAAAGAATCCAGGAATCCGTATGTGCCTGAACATTTTTATAGCTGAAACTCCTAAAAAAAAAAAAAAAAAAAATCTTGCGTACTTTTCAAATGAGCACAGATGCTGTTTGTGATGAGCAAAATTAATTTCAATATTACTGAAGGCATGCTGCATTTTCTTAATTGATACTAAGCGTATCTATCATCTTGTCAAGTGGACGACGTCTTGTCAGTTGCTTAAAATGTTTGACTTTTACAAACACTGGCTTTGAAACCAGTAGATTGTGATCAGAGTTTGACAACCGGTAGTGTGTTCGTTCTCTGGCAGGACTCAGCCCTGCACCGCTTGCCCTGGCCCCGGGAAGACACAGAGGCTCAGACACCCGTGCAAGCAGGATGCCTTCTTCGGGAGTTCCAGCTGTGGATTTTTCCAATACGTCTCTGACTTGGCTGTGCGGTCCTCTGGTGACTTTTAAGATAACAGAGAAGACCAGGGAGGGAAGTGCACCCGCAGGGGGGCCGCTGCAGTGAGTGACACTCTAAAAGACCACCAGGATGGTCATTAAGAGGGCCAGATTCAAAGCCAACATCCCAGTGACACCTGACGAGGGAAGATGGACCACAGAGCAAGACTTTCTAACCTGACGTGGCAAAAGGAATCTAATTCCTCTGGCTGCCATCATTCAAACCTGGTCGCACTGCTTTACACACACTTAACCTCCACTTTCACTTTGAATGCTCTGCACTTTTCAAAGTCATCTTTGACCTGAGAGTGCCCGAGGGTATCTCCACTCGGCAAGAGTTAGAGGGCTCAACTCAAGGTTATTACCAAACGAGGAAGATAAAAGTGCAGAAGCTGACCTTTTCCTCTGAAATGTCAGGATTCAAGTCTGGGTATCTGAATATGAGGACGCTTGCTCTGTCTTTGTGTCAGATGCATACTTGATAAACATCATGCATGTTAAAGAAATAAAAGGTGCAAGCAAGCTAACCCCACAGTCACAGAGTGATGAGCCAGCGCTCCCCTTTACATGAGGGGGGGAGGTGAGGTCTACTCTGCCCGGGGTTAGGCATTACAGTTTGCCTTCTTCTTATTCCTTCTGTAACATTTGCATCCATCCACGGACTCTTAGAAGAAGAAACTCCAAGCAGCCAACCTTTCCTCTAAGTCAAATGCTAAGGGTGTGGTTCTGTTCATGGAATCCACAGATACCTCCCATCAATACTGGGATGGATGTCATGAACAAACAGGCTGAGTACGTTTGCAAAAACAACAACAACAACAACAATGACAACAACAAGCGAAGGATATCTAAGCCCTGTCAGAATTTTATCCTTTGGTGGAACTGAGCCCAAAGACATGGCTAACTCATTCCTTCTCAAGGTGGACGCTGCGACATTTCGTCCAGGAAAAGAATCACAGTCATGGCGTCCTACAAGGAAGCAACCCTGTCATTTATTTTCTCTAGGTTGGTCGTGGCTTCCGCCCTGCTCTGCATTTCCATCATGGTGCCTTGGAAAGGCACCTCTGTGGGGGTAACATCGCCGTAAGAACCTCTGAATCCTCACCACCAACTCCAGGAGAATGTATATGGCAGGATGCAAGTCAGATTTAGATGTCTTTAGCTTTTTTTTTTTTTTTTTTTTTTTTTTTTGGTTTTGCTTTTTAATGAAGTTTTAGGCAGAACTAATTATTCTCTAAAGCTGCATCTGAAATCCAAATGCACAGTGCCTGGGAAAGAGTGAGGTATATGCAGGAAAATGTCATGATAACTTGTCAACTACAATAGAGAGAAGAACCAAAAAGACACAAAACGTTTATTTCAGCCGTGATGTAGGGTCCCGGGCCACTTGATTTGGGACCATCAGTCAGATTCTTTCAATGCTATTTTATCTGGGAGCTCATTTTCCTTCTGACTTTCCCGTTCCTAATTAGAAGAACACCATTTGGCCAAGTGGGAACACGGTGAACACATACAAAGAAATGGATACTGAAATCGTGAAGAGGTTCTGGCCAAAATACAGCTACAGACTAGGACCTAAAATGCCTTTCTTTTCCCCTCTGTCCACATCTCACCTTCAGAACTTACATGAAGAGAGGGCTCTGGGGACCCCACAGCAGGCACTGCAGAGGAGAAACGCACTACTTACGCCAAACATTTGTCGGAGGTCCGGATCTCGGAACCGGAAGGGGATGTTGGAGACATGCAGCCGTTTGGGCTGGGACTTGTTTTCTGAGTTTTCAGAAGGTTGTGTCTGGGGCTGGCCATCCGTCGGTGCTGCGTCATCTGTCTGCTAAAAGGACAAGAGTAAAGAGGCTCTGAGTGGACCTACGTGCTGTTTCCAAACTGCTTTTGCTTCCCCTAAATGGTAGGAAAATGCTGGAACAAAGGAACAAAGACAAGGAAAGAAGTGCTGGGTCATTCATTCATTCAACATTTCTGAAGACCCCCTGAGAGCGTAACATGGATCTGGGACTCACTAGCAAGAAAGGCGGACAAAACTCCCTGCCTTCGTGGAGCGCAATTCTTATGGTGGGGGTGGGGGGCAGGAAAGGCAATGAGCTCATTAACAACGAAATATGCAGCGGGTAGAAGGAGAGCGCCAGGAAGAAAAATAAAGCAAGGGGATGGGTGGTTGGTGTGGAGGTATTGGGGGAGTTTTAATAATTAGGCAGAGAAAACCTCATCGCTGAAGCTAGGAGAGGGTGTATCCCTTAATCAAAGGTGTCCAAAATCTTAAAACATCGCCTACCTAATTGTTGAAGAGTGTGAAGATAAAATATTAGCAAATGTAATAAAACATTTGGAAAGGTTGTTTGGTGCCCTGCAGTCTAAGTAAGCATCTGATTGACTTAATTTATTATTAAGGCTTTAACTTCTCGTTTTTTGATTGTGCAACTCTACCGTGTCCGTTACAGCTGACCCCGTGTGGCTAGTTAAATCTGAATGAATTAAGATTAAATAAGATGTAAAATGCAGCTTTTCATTGACATTAGCCACATTTCAAGTACTCGATAGCCACATGGGGCTAGTGGTTTCCATGTCGGACGGTGCAGGTTTAAAGCATCTCCAGCACAGCAAGACATTCTGTGGACCATGTTGGTGTAGATAAGGTTACATTATTAGCATAACTCGTTACTCTGCTTCCCGTTCTTGCCAAAATGAGTCTGCACAACATGATATTACATCAGCACCTGGATATGGGTAGGAACCAGGAGAAAAGTCACGGTAACATTTGGTATCCTGATAGCCATGACGGGTATGGGTACTCTTGGTTCTAGAGATGCTTCTAGAAACTTTCTCTGCAATTAGCATCTCTTGCCTCTGGGTGGCAGTGGATGCCATTCACATCAGTCAGTTGCTTCTCCAAAACCATGATGGAAAACCTATGTGGAAGCCCATCAAATTGATGAGCAAGGAACCAGCCTCACCTACTTATAAACAGTTTAGAAGCATATTAACTGGGATGAAACTATCAATGCAGTCAGCCCGGTGTAAAATAATAAAGACACAGAGAAGGAAACAATTTCACAAAGTGAAATATGTATTTTTATATATTAAAAAATATGTATGTTTATTTTATATACATAAGTGTTTTATATATGCCATACATATACATTTTGATATATGTTTATCAAAATAGATATATAATATATATAATATATGTATTATATTATATATATTATATATATATCAAAATAACATGGGCATAATTTGTGACTGTCTTGTCAGTACGTATGTTTATTGGCAGACTTCATTTCCATTCTCCTTACTGATACATCCTGAATGGCATTCTGATGCTTTAAAAAAACTTTCATTATTATATTTTTAGTGGGGGGAGGGGCAGAAGGGGAGGAAGAGAGAATCCCAAGCAGGTTCCACTCCCAAAGTGGAGCCCAACTCAGGGCTGATGCCATGACTGTGAGATAGTGACCTGAGCCGAAATCAAGAGTCGGATGCTTAATCCACTGAGCCGCCCAGGCGCCCCCCTGAATTGCATTCTGAAAGCAAGACCTTCCCAGGGGCCGGCAGAAGACTGTTCCAAGCTGGTTTGGTATCTAAGGCCCCCCTGGATGACTTCTTCAACCTTGAAGTGCTATGTCATGTCAACAACAACAATGCACTTGGTCATTCTGTCTATGCTGTTGGAGTGAATAGGCAGGGGGATGGTGATAGTCCTCTAACCTGGAAAACAAGTATTAATAATAATGCACACCTTCTAAGGCTCTGCAGGGACTGACTGCAATCGCATATGCCAACCTGGCAGAGTTCCTGTCACATGGCATATGGTCAGTAACTGGAAAGCAATGAATGTTTTCGAGTTATGGAGATTGTTTTTTTTTAATGTCAAAACGAGGAGTGAAAAACCCTCTCTCAGGTAAAGGAAAGGTTCTCATGGCTCCTTATACATGTTTTTACTGAGCAACTACTAGACACTGGATCTGTAAGTCAGGCCTCCAAACGCATTCAGTTTCCAGTTCAGAGGAAGAGAAAGAGGGTAGAAAAAGACAGTTGCAAGGCTGGGATCACAGGGAATCATAGAGGGCTGCGTAAACTTGAATCAGGGACACGCTGCAGGGCTGGATGCCTGAAGAGGCTTGCCAGTTCTGGGGGGTTATGTTTTGAGTGGGAGGTGTCTAACAGAACAGACGAAGGGGGCGGATGCTGTACCCGCAGTGTGCAAAGCACATGCAAAGACGCAAAGGTGAAATCATGTTCTGGATTCGGGGGCTTCCGCGTGTGATCGCTGGTCAGTGCAGGTCATGTGAAGGAAGGATGGAACGATACACTGTGGGGGTAGTGGCGGTTGGGTTACGAATGGCCCTATGCGTAGAGCAAGAGTATATATTGCATCATAAAAACTGTGACGAGCCACCTATGATCATCGCGGGGCATAATGTGATCAGCACAGGACGCCAGAGCTGAGCTACGGCCGACAAAAGATACATGCAGGTTGAATGGCTGGCTGCATCACTGACTGAACAGCGGAAGGGATTACAAGTGTATCAATAAAGTAACGAGTGAAGGAGCAAACTGTCCGCTTGGCACCTTCAAGGGGGTCAAAACGCAGTCTTATAACAGTGAGGCCCAAACAGAGCACGAATGTTTGCTCTGCTGGTAATAGGAGGTTTGGTTACACAACAAAGCCAGCGACATGTCCTTGAACCACATGGTTGGGGTCTTAGTACTCTAACCTAAGAAGCTCTGTCAGCACAAGCAGCTGCTGAGACCCTGAACCTGCAGCTCTAGATTCTTTCCTCTGGAAAGAAGTTGCTGTTCAAATGCAAATTAAAACAAATTCCTTCTCATCCCAAGAAAGAAACTTAGATTTGGATTTGTACAGAACGGCTGGATGTTTCAGCTTAATAAACCTAATTAGGAATTACAGAGATTATGATTAAACATATTAAATGATTAATAGCATTATGCCGCTCATGTGAAAATTAAAATTAATCATCTTTAGTCAAACAGGACTTTGGAGAAATCTTTGCGTTGTTCCCTTTGATAAAAAACATACAACGCTCAATTAATCATTTTGTAGTGCGGGCATGTATACAAATGCTCATCAATTGTTATGTCGGGATACCTGTGTATTAAAGGTAATTTTTAAAGATAACATGTAAAATGGAAAACAAAGCAACAGTGTTTCAGGTATCGTGAGGGAAGAGGATGACATCAGGATCCAGAGGCCGAGAAAGACAAACGGATCTGTGAGCTCCAGCACGCCTGCTTACGTGTTGGGACGTAACACAAGTGGGCCAAACGAGACCGGGGCTGTGCAAAATGGCTACTCCGGAACCCGGGGCACGGTCGGGCTGAGGCCTTCCAGAGTGGTCCTCACCGACTCTCAAGGTGAGTAGGTCAGGATGAGGGCCTTCTTCCCCTTCCTTTCTCCTGGGAACTTTCATGGAAAACATACTCAGGACAAGCCTGAGTTTGAGGTCGTTGTAGTCTCCTAGGAAATTACCACAAATGTGGTGGCTGAAAGCAACAGCAATGTACTCCCTCACGGTTGTAGGGGCCAGACATCTACAGTGAGGGTGCTCTCAGGACCTCACTCCCTCGGGAGGCTCTGCGGGAAGGCCCATCTCTACCTCTTCCAGCTTCTGGTGGCCTCTTGGCTTGGAGTTGCCTTTCCCCAGTCTGTCTCTGTGTTCATACGGCCTTCTTCCCTCTGTGTGTCTGAGACTCACATCTCTGTCTGCCTTTTTCTTCTTTATAAGGACATTAGGCACTGGGTTTAAGGCTCACCCTAGATCTTGGCTTGGGATCCTTAACTTAATTACATCTGCAAGGACCCTTTGTCCAAATAAGGCCACGTTCATGGGTTTACAGGGGTCAGGACATGGACATATCTTTTGAAGGCCACACTCAACCCACTACAACCCTTTATTAAACAAGAAAACAAACTGGAAGCACGAGTAGGATGGGTAGCTATAGTCAAGGAGGAGTTTCATTTTCTACCACTTAAGGTGGCCTGAGGTTCTCCAAAGGGTTGGCCCCACACCAGGTCCAGAAGAATAGAGAATGTCTCTGCCTGAGCTGTCCCAGGCTCCCATCTGTCACCGTGGGAACTTTAATGAGTTCCCTAAATAGAGGAGACTGCAATCTTCCCTTTGCCAGCCTGGGCGCCCTGACTGAGACGCACTCCACCAGCCTCCTGAGAGGCAGCCGATACTCCGAAAACAAGGACAGGCCCGCCAGTTCCCTGAGCCTAGTGCTGTACTTCACACAGATGGCTAAAGCGGTCACGGCATCCCTGAGAAGGTCGGTGAGGCTTACGGCGAACGCCCAGAGTGAAACTTCTACCGACAAAAATAAAATAACGTAGAAATTCTAAGAAGGTTGCGCAGGGAACTGCACATCTAGAACGTGTATTCCCCAAAGTCAGGGGCTCCCTGCTAGGGAGCTACATCCCCTGAGGCTGGTGCCTGGCAAGGCTTCCTTGGAATTAATTGCTCGAAGAAGAACTCTTGATTTATCCCTGATTTTTTTTTCCTAAGTATCATTTTAGCTCTAAGTGGGACGCAGCTGAACTGGAAAGATACCTCATAACCATGTTTCGGAGATCAGAAGATAGAACATAAAGACCAAGCAAATTACTGCTGATCTGCTCGCTCAGAGATGAGAGGAATTTGAGAAAACAAAGGATGTTCGAGGCATTAGGAGAACAGCCAGGGCACTTGCCCTCTCTGAACCCTCTAGCCCAGGCCCTCATCCTGGGCTGTGATATTCAGTATGGCCTGGCCCTGACCCCCTTGCTTCTTGAGGCTCCCCAGTCCTTGCTCACTG